ACCCAAACCATTCCATGATTCTATGATTAAATCCAGGTGCCTGATTTGTAGCAGACCCTGAGGTCTTAAATAACCAAACTGACACAGGATAGATTTTTTTTTTTCTGTTAGACATTTATTTTCTGAAGGCACAGAGAACCATAAAAAGAAGCCTCAAAGTAGACCATGGATGATGATTTCTCTTCCCCAAGGCAGTCATTTCCATTCCAATGCTACTTTTGGGCCAGAGGCACTGTTGGTAGAGGTGGCAGAAAGTGTCGGACACATGATCTCCCAAGAAAGGGAGAGCAGAGGGCTTTTGGCTGAATGCACGTGTCCTTGTTTTGAATTGCAGCCTGCACCCAGCTCTCACCTCTCGTTTTTCTGGTTCCAAATTGACAATTTAAGCTCCTTACTTATTCACATCCATTAAGCAGTGTATCCCTTGTGGGCATGGTAGCAGACACTAACGCTTGATAGATGTTTTTCCAAAGTGCAAAGAGTGGATGAGAGAGGGAAGGCCTCCTCCTAACAACCTAAAGAGTTAATGAGCTGAGCTGAAACACTTGACCAAGATTTTAGTGACTTTCCATGGGGTAGAAGTTAAATCCTGACTTTCAGAAGTGCTAAAAATATCCAGTACGATATTAAAGGGCATTATAAGAATTTATTTTTTTCTTAAGAAGAAAACAAAAATTTAAATGAAGAAAAACACTTAAACACACATTTAAAATTAATCTTTCTTTTTAGACAATTTTTTTCTGGACAGGCTAAGCTTTTGAGAAACTGCTCCCCAACTCCTGTGGATATCTGACCATCTCAGCCTTTAAAAAAGTTCACCTGTCCTTGAAAAACAATACGTATGTCACTCAATGGGTGGAGTGCTGCTGCTGACGTTTATACAGCAGCTAAAATGAGGGGAACCAAGTCACTTCAGTCCACTCTGAGGTCTCACAATTTTAGGATTACCTGAACCTTTTAAGGTCTTTTAAGGTCTTTTTTTTTTAAAGATTTTAAGGTCTTTTAACTTATCCTGGAAGAAGATAGAATGAAGAAAAACTGGACAGGTTTCTTTGTGTGTGCATGTTGCTTACCTGATTGTGAAGCCTTCAACAGCATGCTGCATAGCCTTCAGCTCTGAGTTAAGCTCTGAGCTCTGAGTTGAGCCGCAGCCTGTCCCCTCCTAGTGCCTCAAGCTGTCTCCTCATTTCGCTGACGTATGCGTCAAACGTAGGTTCAAGGTAATTTTTCACAACCTTTTGGTTTTTCAGGAGGATCTATTTGGTCTCCAGTACTTTATTTTGTTGCTCCGGGAACTATACCTGAAACCCATCACAATTTAAATAATTTGGAATCATCAATTTAAAACCTGATTCATTTTTCGTGAGATGGGGTTTAATATCAGGGGTTTTCTGGTTTTGTTTTATGTAATTTAAAGTGGGCTTTAGATGGGCGTGTCATTGAAAGCTCATTGGTAGGAAGATTTGGAAACCAGGAGCAATACTCAACTCTAAATATACCTGGAAAGATAATTTGGACCATATCCAGCCTGTCTATAGAGCTTTGACTAAACAAAGGTACATTTGTGGAGATAACAAGCTCAACAAAATCCTTAACTCCATGCATTAAGAATTTAGAAGTCAATTTATAGTGTTGAGAGCAATCCTGATCCTACTCTGCAGGCAACGACAAACGTGCCAGGCTGGATGAAGAAGAATGTGTCTTACCTTGTTGATGAAGGAGGGAAATTTGTTGTTGAGAGATTTGATCTGGTCCTTCTCCTCCTGCTGCGCCCTCTGCATATTGGGGTCAATCTCCAAGTTAAGAGGTACCAAGATGTTTTGGTTGACCATGACCTCTTGAATACCTCCGGGGTCACATCATCCCCCAAACCCTTCTCCACCAACTCTATGTACAAACCTACCATGACCTGACCCATAACTGTATCCTGGACTAGCAGAACAAAACCTTCTACTCCTGGAAATCCTCTTGTTTGCCCCTAGATTGGGAAGGCTGCTGCTGCCAAAACCACTGCTGATCCATCCCACGCCTCCACCACTGCTGTGGGACACAGACATGGAGCTGAAGGTGCTTCAGTTAACAGGCAAAGTCAACAGACTTCTGTGCAATCGTTTGCCAGTGGCCAGAGCAGAGGACAATGAGGTGAGATGAGTAGAAGTGTTTGGGAGTTTGGATCAGGAGTCCCCTTTGCCTTTTATCCTTTTGGAGAGCTGGGGTTGTCCGCAGAGGACCGCAGCTCAGTTGACTGAGCTAATTGGGTTGGTATGCTGGCACGTGGCCACCTTTCGCAACCCGTTAATCACCAGACTGGCTAATGCAGTGGGCTGGCAACCTTCAGGCTCATAAAACCAACCAAATTTTCTAACCTGTATTTTTCAGAGCGGCGATTACTGGTGGGGGGAGGGGGGGGGAATAATATTTACATCCAGAAGTTCCCTTTGGGCTTGTTTTTAACTCGGTTAGTGGTGTCAGTGCCCGTTTAATGTAAAGCTGATGGGACTGAAGTTACCACAAGAGATGTTGAAAATGCCAATTTGACGTGCTTTGCTAAAGAAAAAACTGACTTTGCTCCCTGATTGTCTTGAGGTAGGGAAGAAGTCCTGATCTAGGGAAGAAGTTAGATGGCTTTGGTCTGCACTTATCTTTGCAGGCAACACTTTATCTGCATGGAGGTACTTTTGGTAAAGGTGATAATTTGGGAGGCACTCGTGCCTTTCTGTTGGCTACAGAGGAAGCCTGGATGCTTTGCTTAGCTGAAATGCTGAATGATGAGACAGCTAAAAGTACATGGTCCCCTAAAGAGAAAACAGCCTGACTTGTAAAAGTCCCAAGTCATCAGATGTCTGTTTGGTGCTGGGCAGTGTTTAAATAACAAACCAAAGACCAGTTCTGCTGATGCCAGTGGAAATATGGTCCAGAGATGCCAGAGGGAGATGGGCAGGTGTTGAAGAGGAGAAGCCATTTCCTTTCAGGTAGCGTGTTATTGTGCTTAGGTCTAGAGGATTAATGAAAAGCTGGGCTTTATTATATCGCCTTCTCTTTAGGCTAAGAGTCAGCATGCACTTGATGTACGTCACGTTTACCTCCTGTGCTTTAGTCACTCGGCAGGGTTGTGCCAGAGACTGAACCAGCACAATCTGCTGTGGTCATCTCAGCATAGTATTAATATTCATTTTTTTTAATATGAACCTTGGTGCTTTTGTAGTTTTTCTCTTGTTTCTGCTGTTGAGATGATCAGAGAAGGGGAACTAAGCCTTCCTCACCCTAAGGATCTTTAACCATCTCACAGCCTGTCTGGGGATATTATTCTTCTTAAAGAGGGTGAGTTTGGGGGTTTAATGGGTCTTTTCCATTTCTAATTATGGTAATGGCAGTGACAACATTTTATTAGCCCCTGCAGCTACTACATGTGCAGAACAGTGTGAGATGAAATACTCACTTTCTTTGGAAAAACTAGATTTATATCCCTACGTGACTCATCACATAAAACCTTGAAAGATTACAGGGGTTTGGGTGTGATCAAGGTGGTGTGGAAATGCCGTAATATGGAAATTAAGATAGAAGGACATTTTTTGTAGTGCCTACTAGGAGGAGTATCCCATGGAGGATACTGATGCTAAAAAACCTTGCTCTCACAAGTTGGAATGGAACATCCAACTGTTCTACTCCTGTTGGATATAAGAAGTGTCCAGGGGTTGCAGTTGAGTGCAGAGGAAGTGTAGGAAGTCCTACAACTCTTGTGTATAGGACTTGTATTTCCCTTCAGCTCTACTCTGCTCTGTCAACCATTTTTTTTTTCCCCCCAAGATCCTATAAAGTAATTGGAATTAAAAGGATGATGTGACAGAATTAATTCCACATGCCTTTTTATTAGACAAACACTGGGAAATTGGGATTTTAGACTGTCAAATAACAAAGGGGAGTGTGATATGTTTTATATAAATAAGGACAGGCAGATTTGACTTCCGAATCTTTTGCAAGTAACAGGGTAAGGATTGCACACAACACAGGAGGAAACTCAGCACACACTAGCTGACAGTGCTGATGTCTGACTTTAGTAGCATCTCTTGGTTGAAGAGGTGGAGACGTAATTCACGCTGGAACTGCTTCCACCGACCACGCATGACCCAGCTGTGCCTTGTCCACTTCCAGAGCTGAAGCCCATTCCTCCAGCACAGACCCCACCTCCAACACCACTGCTCCCTCCAAAGCTGAGACAGTTTCCACTTCCATATCCCGTTCCTACGGCGGTTCTAGTCACAGCTGCAAGAAGAAAGCACCCTCTTTAGAGGCATCCACAAAGAGTAGGCTCTGAGTGGTAGGGAGACAAATGGAAAAGTCACAAAACTATCTTTAAAAGTTACTTACAGATATTCACTGCACCAGCACCTTCTCCAGAGAGCCTGTTAGGGAGAAAAATGAAACAGTAAGATTTCAAGTGGAACCCATGAACAGGAGCTGACTGAAAAGGCAGAAGAATTCCCTTGGAATCTTTTTGGTGGATGTTGGAAAGTTTGTGCCAAAGGCCATCGTCTTCCCAAATAGCTTATCTTCATGTGTGACTGCTTGCCTCTAAACAGGATTCAAGTCCTCTGAATGTGGGAAGCCCAGGGATTTCTTGTAAACCTGACAAGGGTCTGTAACTCCATTGCACCTCTGGAAACTGGGATATAAAGTTGCACCCACCTGCATTCTTCTCCCTCCAGCAGCTTCCTGTAGGTTGCAATCTCAATATCCAGGGCCAGCTTGACGTTCATCAGCTCCTGGTACTCGCGGAGCTGCCGGGCCAGGTCTGTCTTGGCTTTCTGCAGGGCTGTTTCCAGCTCAGCCAGTTTTTCCCTGGCATCCTTGATGGCCATCTCCCCACGCTGCTCAGCATCTGCAATGGCTGTCTGCAAACTGGCACACTGGGGAAGAAAAATGGTGGTTGCAGTCCTCATCCAGAGCTAAAACTAGTACCCTGATGCCTGGTCTAGATGGAGAAGAGGTTGGGTTAACACCTATGGGTGTGGTCTTAAGAGTCATTGAATTGTTTCATGTGCTGAGCCAGGTCACAACCTGGATTTAGTCTAACTCCACATCTCTTTACATCTCTTTAGCGTTACTAATACTGTGTTAAGTTACTCTTAGTGATGTTACTGCACTAAGGTCAATGCTGTCATATTTGTTCCTGATCCAACAGAACTCACTGAGATGCTGTCCTGGGTTTGCTAGGATAGGGTTAATTTAATTCTTAGTAGCTAGAATAGAATAGCTGTGTTTTGATGTCAGGATGGGATTTGTTATGAGAAGGATGTTGATAAGGTACTAATGTTTTCAGTTGTGGCTGGAAGATGAAGGACTTTCCAACCTCCCCATGTTTTGCTAATCTGCAGGTGCAGAGGACTAGGAGGGGCAGAATAGTAAATTAGCAAACTCAAATTGGCATTTGAATATAACAATGGGTTACTCCATATCACAGAACAACATGTTCAGTATATTGGTGAGGGTTGACCGGAAAGCTGGGGATTGTCCTGGGGATCGCTTGGGCTCTTGCTCTTCTAGGATTGTGGGTTTGGTTTTGGGATTATCTCTGCTCCAGGATCATTGGCTGGGACAGGCTGGGCATCAGTCAGGAGGTGGTAAGCAATTGCACTGTGCATCACTCATTTTTATATTCTATTATTACTGTTTTTATCATTATTATTATTTGAATTATTATTTTATTTCAATTATTAAATTATTTTTATCTCAACCCATGAGTTTTCTTACTTTTACCCTTCTCTCCCTTGTCCCATTGGGGGAGGGTGAGTGAGCGGCTGTTTGGTGTTTGGATGTCAGCCAGGCTAAACCCACCACAGATACATTTATTTTTCTTCCCTGGAGTTGGTTGGACAACCAAGAGGTTAGACCACAGCAAGAGTAAAAGGTTTTATGCATTTACACTGCCCTTTACCTGTTTCTTCACGCTGTCAATCTCACATCGCAGCCGCTGGACGTGGCGGGTT